AGGTCCAGAGTGGTAAAGGGTTGGTACACAAAAACACGCTGGCCTCCTCAGATCTGGCCTTCCTGATCGTAATAGACGGGTCCCCTAGTTTCCCTCAGTGGCACCTGTAGGGCTCCCCGGTATTGCTACAGGAAGGGACTGTCTCTGCTGGCCTGATTTTCTAGGTGCCTTCCGGGAGGGGTGTATGGGGTTAGGACCGGTCACAGCCGGAGAGGCCGGTGGTGCTAGAGGTGGTGAGGACTCGGGACTACGGGCAGCCTCCGGTGGGGTTTCAGCAGCCGGGGTGGCCGGAGGTGCAGGTGGCAGTGAGGGCTACAGAGGAGCACATAGCGGTGGGGTTTCCTCAGGCTCTCCCGACAGTATGGGTTTTTCAGTTTCCGGCCAGCATTTGGAGGAAGCCGTGACACGAGCCATCATAACTTTACAGCTCTCTTTGATATAGACTTTCAGCCAAGGTGGCCGGGATAGGACCAGGTCTTGCCAACAGTCAATGTAAGGACATTGGTCGGGGTGGCCTGGATCCCCCACAACGACCCTGAACACTCGGCCAACCAGTTCCTTATCAAGTGAGCGCTCGGAGGGCCAGCCTACCCCAAACAATGTTCCATCAGTTTCACAGAATGTCTGGAGCTTTCTGGGAGTTAATTTCACACCATAATCTCCTGAATATCCCTTTTTGAATTTTCTCGACAGACACTCTAGGGGAGCCGGTTTACTCTGCTTTCCACCCATTTCCTCCCCCTGACAGACAACTTTCATGCACAAGAGAGGAAAAAGGGGGAAGGGGGGGCTAATTTGGAGAGGACGTACATTGCTTTGTCCATTTCCCGCCACTCTCCTCTCGGAGATATTTCAGGAGCCCCTCAGCATTGGCAGGTTCCGTATTAATCCCTGACCAGGATCAGATTCCTGAGGAAGCCTGACGCCGTCTTCAGCCATATGAGGTTGCCACGGAACCACGGATCGGGACTCAACACTGGCTTTGGCCCTTGGTCAGGTTGGAACCTTTCCATTGTCTATCACTTTCACACACAGTCACATAGCGACTCCAACCTGCTGCCCAATGCCCAGCACCTTAGAGTTGTGGTTTTGTTCCTTTTTCCTTAGGGAACTACTCAGGCAACTCTGGGACTCTGGGGGGTGATCAGGCTCTCCTTCTTCCTCTTAGAGTCAGGTCTACCAAAAGGAACTCCAGGTTCTTACCAGTCTGTTGGGCGGTGCTCCCTGAGTTGGTTCCTGGGCCTCACCGTGTGTGTGTGTGTGTGTGTGTGTGTGTGTGTCCTTTGTGCATCCGGGTCCTTGCCCTGGCGAGCTGGGATGGGCTAGTCTCCTATGGATCAAGTGGTCTGCTCGTGGTAGGCGAGGTCGCCTCTCCCGGTACCCCGAGGTTGGTACCCCAGCAACGGGGGGGTGGGAGCGGGTGGAAATGCACCGTCTCTGAATCCTAGATGAGCCCTCATGTAATGTAATGGGACTGAGGTTTGTACAGAAAGAGTCGTGACACCAAGGCTTTCCTTTCTAGGAAGGAACTTGATTCATGCCCTCACGGGCTCAGTGTGTTCGTACCTGAAAAGCTGAGCCCCGAGCGCAGCGGGTTGTGGCCTTTTATACGATTTCTACTTCTTTGTCTCCCATACATGGTGACATGCAGACATGCAGTCTGGGTGGTCTATGTTAGAGTTGTGAGGAATGTCACCAGTGCGCACATAGCCTCCCTTGTCTTGAGGTTTTCACCACATTCCTTAGGTGTGACAGTGCCTGGAGCATATTGGTACAGACCTCATAGTTCTGAAGGTACCTAAAGCAGTGAGAAACTTAGTATTTAAAAAAGAAGGATGGGGGGGCGCCTGGGTGGCGCAGTCGGTTAAGCGTCCGACTTCAGCCAGGTCACGATCTCGCGGTCCGTGAGTTCGAGCCCCGCGTCGGGCTCTGGGCTGATGGCTCAGAGCCTGGAGCCTGTTTCCGATTCTGTGTCTCCCTCTCTCTCTGCCCCTCCCCCGTTCATGCTCTGTCTCTCTCTGTCCCAAAAATAAAAATAAAAACGTTGAAAAAAAAAATTAAAAAAAAAAAAAAAAAAAAAAAAAAAAAAAAAAAAAAAAGAAGGATGGGGAGCCCGAAAGGTCAGTCGGTTGAGCATCTGACTCTTGATTTCGGCTCAGATCATGATCTCAGGGTTGGTGGGTTCGCCCCCCCCCCCCGCCCCGGCTCTCTGCTGTCAGCACAGAGTCTGCTTCGGATCCTGGGTCTCCGTCTCCCTCTCTCTCTCTCTCTCTCTGCCCCTCACCCCCCTCCCACAGCGCACTCTCTCTCTCTCACTCTTAAAAATAAACATTTATAAATAAACAAACTAAAATAAAAAAGGACAGTGGCCAACACTAGGAAATAAGTTTCGCTTTCAAAATCCTCTGGCGAGAATGGCAATGGGCATGTATGCGCAGGAACATTCTTGAATTTCCCTCACTCCCGGCAAGGCCTGGAGGCCCCGGTGAGCAGCGCGACACCCTCTCTGTGGGGCACGGCATTGCAACCGCTTTACCGACATCCGTCACTCACAAGCGAGAAAGGCAGGACGAAGGAATAAGGCATCAGTGGATGCCACGGCACAGAGGGCACGCTTTCCCAAGGCCACAGAGCCCCCCTTCACTCTGCGGACACACGGGTGCTGTGAAACTGGTGTCTGATTAACTCCCACCAGAGGAAACTCTGGCATAACCATGGCACCTTATCCATCATTACTGCCATCACCTTACGGGACCGTGGTGTCCACAACTGGTGACTTTTCACGCAGAACTCCATTAAAGGAGCCTCACGTTGCTAAAGAGCCCTCAGAGACAAAGGTTGAACTGAGAAGAATTTAACGCTTTTTTTTTTTAATTTTTTTTTCAACGTTTATTTATTTTTT